AATAATAATAATAATAATAATAATAATAATAATAGTTATAGTTATGTTTAAAAAGCTATTTTAAAGTACATTAAAAGTTGTATAAGTTTTTTTTATACATAAAGTAGTCTAACTTTGAATGCTAATTGTTATTATTTTTAATTTTATGAAATCACTTTCGGAACTTTTGTTTACAGGTTTCGGATAAGTGAATTAATACAGAGAAGAGAACTCACCGCTCTATATAAATGTTGCCATCGAGCCTTGTGAACTTCACAAGCCAAAGAATAAAAATCGATCGTAATTCTCTTTTTGTTATCTTCGTCAGTTGTTAAGATAATTTCTCATGAACAAAACCATAATGAGCCGTTATTTTCTCAAAGTATTTTATGCTCTGTTATTCCTTTTATTGCATTCCTCGGGACTTAAAATTGCTGCTGAGGTGAAGTGCATAGAGAGGGAGAGACAAGCACTCCTCAACTTCAAACAAAGTCTCTTTGATGATTCTGGCATCTTGTCAACATGGAGGGACGGTGACAACAATACAGATTGTTGTAAATGGAGAGGCATACAATGCCACAATGAAACTGGTCATGTACGCATGCTTCATCTTCCTGGTTCTCATACACAATATTTGAAAGGTGTAATCAATCTCACTTCATTGATTGACTTGCATAATATTCAACATCTCGACCTCAGTTATAATAATTTTCTGGTGAGTCACCTCCCAGAAGAACTCATGGGCTCCTTGGCCAACTTAACATATCTCAATCTCTCTTATTCTGTATTCAGTGGCATGATTCCATCTACACTTGGAAATCTTTCACAACTACAATATCTAGACCTCGGAGGGAATTATCTCTGTGGAGTAATTCCTTTTCAGATTGGCAATCTCAGTCAATTAAAATATCTTGATCTTGGATATAATGCTCTTTCGGGAGAAATCCCGTATCAAATTGGGAATCTCAAACAGCTACAATTTCTTTCTCTTTCTGGAGGTATCCCTTTTCAGGCAGGAAATATTCCTCTCTTGCACACTCTCGGGTTGGGTGGCAATTTTGATTTACAAGATAAGGATGCAGAGTGGTTCTCTAATCTCTCTTCCTTAACAACTCTTCAACTCACTTCATTACACAATCTTAGTGCCTCTCGTCGCTTGCTACAGACTATAAGTAAGTTTATTCCAAACTTAAGACAGATGAGTCTTGTTGATTGTTCACTCTCAGATGCTGACATCAGATCCTTGTTTTATTCTCACTCCAACTTTTCCACTTCTCTTACCATCCTTGGTCTTTCTTCTAATCTGCTAACATCCTCAACATTTCATTTGTTATCTTCTCTTTTGCCAAATTTTCCATCTCTTAAGATCCTTGACCTCTCTTATAATAATCTTTCATCATCAATATTTCAAGGTAATTTTAATTTTGGATCAAAACTGAAAGAGCTTCATTTAGAAAACTGCAGTCTTACAGATAGAAGTTTTACTGTTTCATCTACTTCCACAATGAATTCCTCATCTTCTCTTCTCTACCTTGATCTCTCCAATAACTTGCTGAAATCATTTGCTATATTTCATTGGCTTTTTAACTTCACCACCGGTCTTAATACTCTTTGCCTTAATCATAACTTGTTAGAAGGTCCGATTCCAGATGTATGTGGAAAAACAATGAACTCTCTTGAAGTTATTGATCTCTCCTATAACAAACTACAAGGCAAGATTCCATCTTTCTTTGGGAATATGTGCAGATTGCAGAGCTTATACCTCTCAAATAACAAGTTGAATGGGAAAATTTCTAGCTTCTTTCAAAATTCCTCATGGTGCAACAGACACGTATTTCAGAATTTGTATTTATCTTATAACCAAATTACTGGCAAGATACCTAAAAGCATCACATTGCTATCTGAGTTGGAGCAGTTATCCTTAGGGAGTAATTCTTTAGAGGGTGACGTCACTGAATCTCATCTTTCTAATTTTTCTAAATTAGAATATTTGTCCTTATCACAAAACTCATTGTCTGTAAAATTGGTCCCTAGCTGGATTCCTCCTTTTCGATTAAGTTATTTGGGCGTAGGATCTTGCAAGCTAGGCCCGAGTTTTCCTAGTTGGCTCCAGACTCAAAGTTCCTTGATTTATCTGGATATATCTGATAATGGGCTTAATGGTTCCGTACCAGAATGGTTTTGGAACATGCAATTTTTTTACTCGTTGAATATGTCTCACAATAATCTCACTGGTACTATTCCTAATATACCATTGGAGCTTCATGCTGTACCGTCAATAATTTTGAATTCAAATCAATTTGAGGGCAGCGTTCCATCATTTTTGCGTCAAGCTTCAGAGTTGTTGCTCTCTGAAAATAAATTTTCAGACTTGTCTTCATTCTTATGTGACCAAAGGACAGTTGCAAAGTTTGGCATTTTAGATTTATCAAAGAATCAAATAAAAGGACAACTTCCAGATTGTTGGAAATCTGTTGACCAATTACTGTTTCTTGATTTAAGCAACAATCAATTGTCAGGGAAGATTCCTATCTCCATGGGCACCCTTGTTAAATTGGAAGCTTTGATTTTAGGAGGCAATAGTTTAATGGGTGAATTGCCTTCAACTTTGAAAAATTGCAGCAATTTATTTGTGCTGGATGTGGAGGAAAACTTGTTGTCTGGTCCAATACCATCATGGATTGGAGGAAGCATGCAGCAATTGATAATCTTGATAATGCGAGGGAATCACTTCTCTGGAAATCTTCCTGTTCAACTCTGTTCTTTAAGGCATATTCAAATGTTGGACCTTTCGAGGAATAAGTTGTCAAAAGGAATTCCAACATGCATAAAGAATTTTATTGCAATGTCTGAAAAAAGCATAAATAAAAGTGAAACTTATAGCCGTATATATGAATATGATATCACTTACTATGATTTTTATGGTCCCTTCTCTTTTGATGATTATAAGCTTGACATCACATGGATGTGGAAAGGATTGGAACAACAATTCAAGGATCCCGAATTGAATCTTAATAGCATTGATCTCTCATGTAACAATTTAACAGGTAAAATACCAAGAGAGATCGGATATTTGCTTGGCTTAGTTTCTTTGAATTTATCGAGAAACAATTTGAGCGGAGAAATTCCTTTTGAAATTGGATATTTAAGTTCACTTGATTTCCTTGACTTATCAAGAAATCATTTTTGTGGGAGAATTCCATCTTCTCTCACACAAATTGATGGTTTAGGAAAATTAGACTTGTCACACAATTCTCTCTCAGGAAGAATCCCATCGGGAAGACATTTCGAGACCTATGGTGCCTCTATTTTTGAAGGAAATAATGATCTTTGTGGAGAGCAAGTTAACAAAAGTTGTCCCGGAGATGAGACAATAGTGAAGCCTCAAGAACAAGCTGTGCATGAAGAAGATTCTGTTTTCTATGAAGCATTGTACATGAGCTTGGGGATAGGATACTTTGTAGGCTTTTGGGGCTTAATAGGAACAATACTAATTTGGAAACCTTGGAGAATTGCCTACACGAGGTGCTTGAACAGAATTACGAACTGGGTAACAGTGTAGTGAATGTGACAAAGTTCTGTCAGTGGCTCAAGGCTAGGCTAGCAGGTGCGTTGTAACCTTTGTTTTTTATATTGTAAGTTTATACTGCAATTAGTAATATAATTCTTTATCCTAAATTGACTACTTTATTACCCCTAACATACAGAATTATTATTACTTACACTGGAGTGTAACTTAGAAGGGAATAAAAAGAAAGGAATGGCTCTTATTGTCAAAGTATTCCATTTTGTTTAAAAATTCATTTATAAGATAGATTTGGATCAAGTCATGCAACATGTTTTATACAGGTGCTTTCTCTAAAGGACTATTTTTAGATGTCTCAACTGAATTTCGGATATGTTGATGATGTCTTGGTTTAATTATCTGCTGGGTCATCTGTCTCACTCTCCTAAAATTTGGTACTTGGAATTCAGATGTATCCAATATATAGATGGGAGACAAAGTACCAAATTAATAACACAAAATAAATTTGATGAGGGCATTTTGTAAAATATCATGTGTTAGCAAAAAGTTTTCTAATGAGGATATTTGATATATTTTTTCTTTCCTTTTTCAGAAAAATTGCTTGCTTCTTACCAAATTGCAACATATTTCTTGACTTGGGAATTTATGTATCATTTTTTTTATATCTTCCTTATGAAATAGCCTAATTTGATTCGTAGTGAGTCAATTAATTTTGTGGGAAGCTTTACTCACGGTAAAACTAGCCTACTGTGGTTCTCATGGACACACAAATATATAATTCCCAAATCACATTGGTGTGTCTGTTTGCACTTATTTTCTTCTGCTTCCACCAACAGATTCTGAACCATTTCCTGTCATACATGTTATTGCAGGTATACTATTTCAACATGTATGAGTTCCTTGATCTTTGATCCATGCCTCTGTCTCAGATAATGGTAATTATTTTATTACTCAAATGAAGTGATTACTTTTCAGCTTTTGAAGTAGTTAGTTGATGAGTTGAATTCAGAGAAACTGACTGGATTTAACAAGACTGTCTCTAATGTTTGAAAATTCTAAAAGTGTTTGTTGTTACCCCTACAACTCTGGTGGTTTTCTAAGTCCAATCAAAGGTGGAGGTCTGGGCTTAAATTTTCCGGTCCTCGTAACTCACATTGAAAAATGTTGCTATCCTTTTTAACTGTTAATTATAATTTAATTCGATGCTAGATGTGGAACATATTTGAAATTTTGGTTTCCAACTAAATCTTGTTGTAGGAAGCTATGAATTAACTGCTTTGTGGACAGCTGTCCCTATTGATGCGAGGATGGAATCTGGAAGAGGTCTGTTTCTACATGGGTGGCCAGAATTTGTAAGCGTCCATTACTGTTAGCACCGAGTTAGAGCAGCAAACTTTAAGGAAAAAGGGCTATAGGAGTATTATATAAAAAAGGAAGGGGTCAAAGTATACCAAATCGATAGGAGGTTAGGAGGGCTAATTAGTTCAGTTTTGTATTCCCTATAAATAAGTCGTGTGTCAAGTAATGAGGGGAACTTCAGAATATTTTGTAAGGTTTCACCGTGAAGGAGAAAGCTCCATAGAGGATATATTTGTATAACATGGTTCTTGGTTTGTAATCAGTTTTCTGTAATAAAGAAAGGAAATATAGAATCTTTTTCTGTGTGCAATTATTCTTTGTTATGCTTTATCGTTTCTTGCTCTGAAAGGAAGATCCTAACAATTACACTGGACTTTTTGTTTATAATGTCTTAAATGTCAGATCTGAAAACGAGAATGAATTTGTTAAAAGTAAATATGAAATTTGGAAAAAGTTCACAGAGGGGGAGGTTGTTTTGAAGGGTTCAATCATGTTGTCTGAGGCAAATATCAAACTTTCACCAGCTTGAGCACCTTCACATAACAGGCTTGAGTTTATGGAGTGAGTTCTTGCAACTCATCTAAAAAGATTCAATCTTGGAGAGCTATTTGTAAGCGGTAAATTTGTTGTTGGTTTCAGAATTGTTGTAATGAAAAGTTATTCCTTGTGATTGACTTTTGAAATGGTAACATATAAATAATTAATGACATGTGAATTTTTTTTCCAACCACTAATAGCCTCTAATAGAACTTTTATATCAAATAATTAATGACAAGTGGATGTTTTTTTCCAACTTCAAAGTCATTGTATCATTATTTAAGTCGAGAAGTTATTAACAAGAACATCTACGTTTTTAACTTCCCTCTATTAAATAACATACCATGACTCACTGGTTCAAATATGAGAGAACACTTTCACCCATCATATCAAATGAAAATATCCAAGCTTTGTCAATCATCATACATAAAGAGAACTGCAAGTATATAAATTACAAACAGCTTTGCGCTAATTACCATAACAAATTTCTCTAACCCATGTTATCAAAGGATATGGATACAAGCTTCTAGAAGGAAGCTAATAGCAATTCTGCTATTTTGTCTTTTTTGATAAAAACAAGATGTGATCTTTTTTGTTATTCTTTCCTGATCTTTTTGTACAAGTGTCTTATTTTTATTAGTTCATTGCTTTGATATTTTGCTTTACAGTTAAGCCTAGAAAAGGTGCACTGCTTGTATATATTCAGACCTTTTGTATTGGTTTCACAGTGAGAGAGAAATATTCATTCTCATATTATTCCTTTTCTTCTTCTCTCCCGATCATCTTTTTTTGTTTTCTATTATGGTACCAGAGCTCTGATTTGCATGGCTCTGATTTTCAGGGCTCTGATTGCTACTTTTACACATGGCTGAAGTTATTGATCCCTCACAAGACCTTAGTTCCCCTTACCATGTCAGTTCATCTGATAATCCCTCCTTTCTCATTGTCCCGAATGTTCTTGAGGGACCAAACTATCATCATTGGTCACGTTCATTTTGAATGAGTCTCATTTCAAAGAACAAGATAAGTTTCATTGATGGAACCATAGAAGCTCCCACTCGTACCAGCTCATTGTTTCCAGCACGGCAGAGAGCCAATATGCTGGTTGTTTCATGGATGCTCAAGGTTGTTTCTCCATCCATTACACAGAGCATTATCTATATGGACAACGCCTTCGACATATGGAATGATTTAAAGGACAGGTTCTCACAAGGAGACATGATTCGCATTTCTGATCTTCAAGAGATGATTTCTTCTTTCAAACAATTTTATGTGAGTGTTACAAACTATTTCACTGAGCTTAAAATTCTTTGGGATGAGCTTGATCTTTTGCGCCCATTACCTGCTTGTTCTTATGCTTTTAAATGCACCTGTAGTGCTCTTGGGAATGTTGCTAAATATAAAGGACAAGACCAGCTTATTAAATTTCTAAGGGGGCTAAATGATAACTATTTGATTGTTAGAACTCAAATTCTATTGATGGATCCCTTGCCCTCTTTGAATAGAGTTTTCTCTCTTGTTATACAACAAGAGAGACAAATTTTTGGTGATCATTCCAAGGCAATGGCTGTTACTGGTAGAGGGGGCTATAAAAATAACACTGCAAGTTATGGTAGAGGTTCTAGTTATGGAAGAGGAAGCTATGGAAGAGGAAATGCTTCTAAAATCTGTAGTCATTGTGGAAAGACAGGACATACCATTGATACATGTTATAGAAAGCATGGCTTCCCACCTCATTTCAAGTTTAAAAATCATAACCATGATCAAAGTCATGCTAATGCAGTATTTCAAAATGCAAGTTCTAATGATGATGGTGAGAAAAATCATGAAGGTTCAAAGGCAGAATTACAGCCTCAACAAATTAATTTTACTCTTGAGCAGTGTCAAGCATTGTTAGCTCTTTTACAACAGTCTAAATCCACTGGCAATGTTTCAAATGAAGTCTCTGTTATTCTTTCCAACATGACAACACACTGGTAATAAATCTCCTTATTCCTTTAGTTCTTGGGTACTTAATAGTGGTGTCACCGACCACATTTGTTCATCTTTGACTCATTTTACTTCATATCATCAAATTAATCCTATCTGTGTCAAGTTTCCAAATGGAAATCAAGTCACTGCCAATTATTCTGGAAGTGTTTTTCTCAATCAAAATCATGTCATACACATGTTTTGTATATTCCTTGTTTTACTTTTAATCTTCTTTCGGTAGCAAAGTTAATTGATAATTTATCATGTGTGCTTACCTTTGACTCTGATGGTTGTCACATTCAGGACAAGAACTCCTTGAAGATGATTGGTTCAGCTAAGATGCAAGATATGCTTTATATACTCAGGGTCTCATTTTATCACAAACTTCAAATCAAACCCACCAAATTTACACATACCATCAATACTGTCAATTTCACTGCTAGTGATCTAGAAACCCTTTGGCATTTTCGGTTAGGGCATGTTTCAAACAAATGTATTGATGTTATCAAGAATAAATTTCCTTTTTTTAAATACAACAAATCATATGTTTGTGATATTTGTCATTATGCAAAGCAAAAGAGACTTCCGTTTCCTATTAGTACATCTAAATCTCAAAAATGTTTTGATCTGATTCACGTTGATTTGTGGGGACCATACTCAATACCATCAATTCATGGTCATAAATATTTCTGGACCATAGTTGATGATTGTTCAAGGTACACATGGATTTTTCTTTTAAAACAAAAATCTGAAACTGTTAAGACTATGGAAAAATTTATTGTTTTTGTTCAAACACAATTTGAGACAACAATAAAAATCATAAGAAGTGACAATGAGACTGAATTTTTCATGACTAATTTCTTTGCCAACAAAGGGATAATGCACCAAACCTCATGTGTCAATACTCCACAACAAAATAGTATAGTTGAAAGGAAACATGGTCATTTATTAAACGTAGCAAGAGCTCTCATGATACAATCTCATTTGCCCAAAATTTACTAGTCATATTCTGTGATACATGCTGCCCAAATTATAAATATGCTTCCCACACCTGTTTTAGATAATTTTTCTCCTCATGAAATGCTTTACAAAACTGAAGCAAATTTTAATCAATTAAAGGTGTTTGAATCTTTATGCTATGCTAGCACTTTGTCAACAAATAGAAGAAAATTTGATCCAAGGGCATCGAAATGTGTTTTTCTTGGTTTTAAAAAGGGAACAAAATGATATGTTTTGTTAAATATTCAATCCAGAGAAATTTTTGTGTCTAGGGATGTTGTTTTCCATGAACACGTTTTTTCGTATCAAAGGGTTCAGGATGCTAACAATGAAACTGACAGTCCTAACATTCATGATCAAAGTCTTTTTACTGAAGATCAACCCATCTTGAGTTAGCCATAACAAGTCATTCTTATACCTTTTGATAATTATGATAATAATAGTAATAATGACCATGAATCTGACATTGAAGTTCCAACAGAAGTAAGCCCACAAATAGACCAAAACCTCAATGAAGACCATGATACAGAACAAAATTCAGAATCTCATCAGCCAATTCAAATGAGTACCCGAACAAAAAAAACCACCTGAGTATCTAAAGGATTACCATTGTAATCTTAATGTTTCCAATACATCTTCAAGAGTTAAATATCCTTTGAATTCTGTTTTATCTTATAATAAATTAACATCTGCTTACTCATCCTTTGTTATGTCTATTTCTTCACATGTTGAGCCAAACACTTATTCTGAAGCTATAAAATATGACTGTTGGAGAAAGGCTATACAATGTGAGATATCTGCTTTGGTGTCAAATCAAACATGGGAGGTTGCTCTTCTGCCTAAGGACAAAGCTGCCATAGGTTGTAAATGGGTGTTCAAAATAAAATATAAGCCTGATGAGACTGTTGAAAGGTATAAGGCAAGACTAGTGGCAAAGGGGTACACCAAAACAGAAGGTATTGACTACCTTGATACCTTTCCTCTAGTAGCAAAGATGACAACTATAAGGTTGCTTCTTTCCCTAGCTTCTATTTATAACTGGAAACTAAAACAATTGGACATAAACAATGCCTTTTTACATGAGAGTTGAAAGAAGATGTATACATGGTTGCTCCTCCTGGATTGACTTCTATTCAACCAGGACAAGTTTGTAAATTACAAAAGGCTTTATATGGCCTTAAGCAAGCTAGCAGAGAATGGTTTGCCAAATTATCATCTTTTTTGCTTTCTGCTGGATACACACAATCTATGAATGATCATTCCTTGTTCATTAATTCTTCTGAAGGGTCTTTTACAGCATTATTGGTGTATGTAGATGATATAATATTGGCAGGAAATGATAAAGAAGAGATTGATCGAATCAAACAAGCCTTGAATGAGACATTCAAGATCAAGGATCTTGGGGATTTGAGATATTTTCTTGGTCTTGAGGTAGCAAGAAGCAAGAAAGGGATAATGGCTTTCACAGATGTTCAAGCATACAGAAGATTGATTGGAAGGCTTATGTATCTCACTAATACTAGACCTGACATCACCTTTTCTGTGCAGCAACTCTCTCAGTTTCTTGCTAAACCTACAATAGCTCATTATACTGCAGCAATTAGAATTCTTAGATATATTAAAGGAGCCCCAAGTCTTGGTTTGTTTTTCTCCTCCAGCAATTCTACTCATCTAAAAGCCTTTTGTGATAGTGATTGGGGCACTTGCAGTGATTCAAGACAATCAGTGACTGGTTTTAGTGTGTATCTTGGAAATTCCCTCGTATCTTGGAAATCAAAGAAGCAAAGAACAATATCAAAGAGTTCTTGTGAAGCTGAATATAGAGCAATGGTTGCTGTTACATGTGAAATTCAATGGCTAACTTATCTTCTTCAAGATTTCAAAGTTTTTTTTGAGCAACCATCTCTTTTGTCCTATGACAATGACTCAGCTAGATACATTGCAGCAAACCCAGTGTTTCATGAGCGCACGAAACACATAGAAATAGACTGCCATATTGTCAGGGAAAAATTGAAGAAGGGTCTCATTCATTTGCTTCCCATTTCCACCACTGAGCACCTACCAGACATCTATACCAAGGCCTTAAGTCCTCAATCTTTCAAGAGTATTTGTTCCAAGCTGGGTCTCATCAACATTTGCTCCCCAGCTTGCGGGGGGTATTAAAGGATATGGATACAAGCTTCTAGAAGGAAGCTAATAGGAATTTGCTATTTTGTCTTTTCTGATAAAAACAAGCTGTGATCTTTTTTGTTATTCTTTCCTGATCTTTTTGTACAGGTGTCTTATTTTTATTAGTTCATTGCTTTGATATTTTGCTTTACGGTTAAGCCTAGAAAAGGTGCACTGCTTTTATATATTCAAACTTTTTGTATTGGTTTCATAGTGAGAGAGAAATATTCATTCTCATATTATTCCTTTTCTTCTTCTCTCCCGAACATCTTCTTTTTGTTTTCTATTACATGTTCCATCTCATCATTTTTAAAATGAGTGAGGACCTTCTAGAATAGAGGATAGAACATGTCTTAAGTTACAAAATGAAAAGGGAGTCTATAATGAAGTACACGTGACCAAAACAATATGCTTAGCCCAAAACACATGGCCATGATCATCCAACCCACAATCAAGAACATTACAGCGGACCTCAACACTGGCCATAACCAACCAAATCCAAACAAAGCAAAGCTCACAGCAGCTACAACCATTCCAAGTCCTACCTTATATTTCCCTGTATGGGAGGCTGCAAGCAATGACACCATTCCACCAACACAAATGGCTAAACCTGAGGTTGTTGCTGCTTTTAAAGGATTTGGCAAACTTGCTTTCTCTTCATTGCTATCTCCCTATTCTCTATCTCTAATAAGCCACCTTTGCTCATCTCTCTTCATTTGAGCAACCTCTATGTCCAAATCGATGGACACAGACCTAAACTTCTTTCTGGCTCTGCTACATGCCCAGAACACCAACCCCATCAAACTCCATTGCATGATGACCTTAATGTCTTGTCATAACACATGTTGTTATGACCATCCCCTCAAGGGCTGCCATAACAGCAGCCTGTAGTCATTGCCAAGTCTGCAGAAAGAAGAATAAAGATCAAAACAGAGGTAACATTTTGTATAAATGATAAAAGAAGAATAATTTCAAATCTTATTATGTTTATGAAGCAAAACATGCATTAGAGAATGAGGGAGAAATCACAAATTTACCCATAAAAAATAGTAAGGGCCTAATAAACAACATTATTAAAGCTTATATCATGGTTAGCCCCATAGCATGCAAGAAGCTTCTATTTTGGCCGCTGTCAAAAACTGCTCTGCTATGAGACCATATACATGACAGGTGAGATTGTAAATATCATCATTCATCACCTCACAATGCTTGCGAGAAAATCGGTGTCCATCCCATAAAGACTCAAGAGTTCAGAACAACACAAACTCGACAGACAAGCTGATCAAATTCATTATACCAGTATGTATATGTGTAGAAAGATAGAAATGGTTAGAGTGTGATTGGGTAAACTTTTCCGTAAGTACTTTAAGGAGAGAAAAATAGGAAAAGAAAATGAACCGTGTGTTTGCATCCGCGTTGTAACGTGATTTTTCACGTTCAACTTGAAGCGATAAATACCTACTTCTACTTAAATCCGTATGTAAACATGGAGAGAGACGAAAGAATTGCGTTTCAAAATGAAAAGCAAACACTCATGAAATGAGAAAGTTAAAATTAATTTATGTATAAACTAATTTGTAGAAGCTTTATCCTATTAGCTTCTTCAAAATCTTATTTTTAACTCTTGCATAGGTTAATTTTAACACTTAGAGAAATTTATTTTAGTTTTTCTACTTATTTTTCTCTCCTAAAAATATTTATGCAAAAGCTTATCAAAAAGAGACCCTTAAACTAATATCGAGTATAACTTATCCAAATAAGAATGGCATAATTTTATGCTAAACAAAATAAAGCACAAATAAATCATCTGATTAAGTTTAATTTTATGCTGAGCTAAGAAGAGGCGTGTCTTAAATGTTACCTGGAAGAGAAGAACAATAATTGAATCAATAATCATCCTTGCCAGGAAAACAAGAAGTTTGGCCAATTGCAACATGCATTTTTATGCCACACTCGTTTTGTTTTTGGTACAGGTTACCAGATCAAAAACAATTCAGAACTAGTTCAGCAACAGTGTTAAATTAGTTTACCTGTTCAGAACTGGTTAACTATTTGTTTATTGATATCAACAAAATGAATTGGTTAAAACAGGATTGCAGATTGCGGTTGCCTTCCCAAAAATATCCAGAATTTTTCGAAACCAAAAGCAATGCAGCAAATAATGTAATTATTGTAATGGAAGAAAATTATGAAATAGAAGTAATGGTGTGATGATCCATATAATGAATATTAATTAGTAAATAATAATTTAAGCATTTAGGTCACAAAAGTTTTTATGACTAGGTCAAGAATGAAGTTAAAGCGTAAGTATGGAATTCAGAATATCAAACAAACAACACACTGTCCATTAGTTACGGATGGTGTCCCAAAAGTACAAAGTAGAAATGAAAAGAAAAAAAGGGGACTTTTATTTCAAAGTTCCTCTTTTACCTAATCAACTATAGGGTTTTGATGAAATATTAAATACGAGTTTACACATGTAGAGATGAAAAAATTGACGCAAATAAATGAGACATGTGACTAAAACGGTTAATCCGATGAATCCATCTCGCCAAAATCAATAAATCAACTGGATTGGACTGCCAAAATTTGAATGATTTAAATATCGGTCTATTAAACAAATAAAAAATATAAATTATTCAAACATAATATATTATTATAATCATTCAGATGTTATCTTATTCAATTGTCTTTCATATTTTTAGGAATTAATAGAGTAATAATTAAAAAACATATTTCTAAAAATAGTTATAATTACTAAAAAATTAATAAAATAAAGTTAACCCATTTCAACTTGTTTCTTAATTAATTGTGTTGATGGAGTATATAAATGGAAGAGTTAAATTATATAACTGAACTTAATTTTGACAAAATTAAATGGGTTAAAATTTAGGTTGAGTTTTGACGTCCTTTTGTTAACTCTGAGTATGAGGGGATTATGAAATTAGTGTATAAAAAAACAAGTGCAAGTAAAAAAAAAATACAAAATATTAATAATATAGCATTAATTGTTTGATGTTTTTCTTAAAGAAAATTATTTGTCTTGGTGTGGAGCATAAATAGAGTCTTCAAATTGTTGAAGAAAATTTTATGGTTCAAAAGTTAATTAACATGAACATATTTAAACTTTTTTTTATCAGTTTTAATTAATTTGGATGCATAATGGATCGTTTTTGGTTCCGCTGTTTGTGTTATGAACATTGTTTCTCTCTCTCCTGTTGCCATGCCTTGAATTGCAGCTTGTAAAGAGTTTGGCAAACTTTTTCTTTCATTCTCTCTCCTATTGCCATGCTGTATGCCCCACCCACCAACCCCGAAAACGTTTATAGTTGATGCAAACTCTAGTCTCAACTTTATATATAATTTTTACATTACTTGGCAATTCTACACAAAAAAAAATGTAAATAATTTTTTTCACACATTTGATAGGGAGAACATTATATAGTACGTCATGCCTACTACTACGTTGTGGATGTGAAACTAGAGCTAATTCCACTTAATTATGTGCCAATTTTGATGCTTACTGAATATTTATTTTTACATGTATAATAATTTGCAAATATTTTAGTTTTAAATTGAATTGTTGACAAATATTAATTTATAAATAATTTGCACAATTAATATAATTTTTAAAAATATTTTTATATACAAATTCAATAAACTTTTACAATTTTTTTAATTTTTTTTAGTAATTTGATGTAATATATCTCTCAATTATAATTTTGTGAAACCCTTTCTCTCTCTTTTCTCCCTTCACTTGCCCTCACTCTCTCATTCACTCTCTTTTGCACCCTTGTTGTTGATCTTTCTTTCCTCTCAAGCCCTTAACCTTGTTGCAAATTCCTTTCTCTCTAGCTGAAGCCGTGAGTGATCTTGGAGGTCCTTTCTCGCAATCTTGAAGCCGTTCGGAGTTAGCCATGTGCGGAATTCTCTTCTTCTTCTTCATTGTCTTCTTCTTCCCGGAAGCTCGGATTCTTGCACCGAGGTAAGTGAAGCTAGGTTTTTCGCTGTTTTTGGATGTAAATGAGTTCAAGAAACTCATTAGTTGTTGAAGTTAGATGTTTTTGGCTAAGTTTTGATGAAAATGGACCTTGTTGGAGTTTTGGGATTTTTGGACGAAAATTTGAAACTTTCACTTATTTTATGGTTGCATGGGTAAAAAGGTAGTGTTTTTGAGCTGTTGGTTGAAAATGTGGCATCTTGAATGAATTGCATGTGTTGGAAATGTGGATTTTTGTAGGTTTTTGGGTAAATTTTTGAACTTGGTGAGTTGTTGCTGGGTACCTTGCCGGCCATCATTCTTCGAGCCGGGCGCGTGGCCATCAGAGGGCTCCATTTGGGCAAGCCTGCCGGGCAAAAAGGTGTGTGCGCCGGGAGAGCTTGAGGATGTGAGCCTCTAAATGGCCCACGCCGGGTGTGACTTGGACCGCGCCGGGCGCGCTATCAGTATGTGACAAGTTTTGGGTTTCTGGTGCTACGCTGGGCGCGACCATTGTCGCGCTGGGCGTTGGGACTCCTTAGGAGTCTCTGCCATGGGGGCACTGGGCACAATTTGAATTGCACTAGGCGCGAGACCTTGGGAGGTCTCTGGCTTCCCCGCGCCGGGCGCGGGTTTGGGCACGTCGGGCGAGTGAGACTCCTTAGAGTCTCTTCCTGGGTTTGTGCTGGGCGCAATTTGTATTGCGCCAGGCGCGAGGGAGCCTTGGGCTCTCTGGATGGGTCACGCTGGGCGCGGGATCTCTTGCGCCGGGCGCGCTGACCCCTAATGCTCTCTGGTTGTGCCGCGACGGGCGCGACCAGGAGTGCGCAGGGCGCGGAGGTGATGTTTAACTATATGCTGTTAGATGTTGTGAAATGCTGAGAAATGTTGTTTTATGTTGAGCTATGCTATAAGACGATAATGTTGTGCTGTAAGTTGTTTAGCCGTGCTGTAAGTTGTTATTGTTGTAAGTTGTGCTGTGCTGTATGCTGATATAAACTATTATAGGTGCCTAAGGCTGAGCTGTTGTAGGTCGTAAGGCTGAGCAATTGTAGGCCGTAAGGCTGAGCTATTGTAGGCTGTATGGCTGAGCTGTTATAGGTTGTAAGACTGAGCTGTTGTAGGCCGTAAGGCGGAGCTGTTATAGGCCGTAAGGCTGAGCTGTTGTAGGATATCTCCGAGCTGATATGTGTGACGATGCATTGTGTGCTTATTGTTGTATATGCTGTATTAGTTGATGAGATGTATGCTGATGATGTGCTGATAGCTGTAGTTGATAATAATTCATATATATGTTTTATATGTTGATTTTTTTCACTAGCTTACCCTTTGTTGTTTTCATGTGTTTGGACTGCGATGATCATACGTTGTGTGGGAGCAGAGCAGGGTTAGGTTGGTGACTAGTGGCAGGACTGCAGATGGCAGATAGGGCTGATTCCTTTTGATGTTTTGTTATAAATTCCTCATGGTGCAACAGACACGTATTTCAGACTTTGGATTTATATTATAACCAAATTACTGGCAAGATACCTAAAAGCATCACATTGTTATCTGAATTGGAGAAGTTATACTTTTCCAACTCTACTCATGAGATTTACCGCACTAGCCCGTAATGTTAAAAAAATAAATAAAATATATCGCTAAAAAATTAAATACCCAAGTCATATGATCAATGATATACCATAAACGTGCAACAAAGTAGCGAAGCATTTGCAAGTGTGAACAAAAGAATGGAGAAATTTGTGATCAAAATGAACTTCTTTTGTTACCATTTTCGGATTTATAAAAATCTTTTGAAATCATAGACATGCCATGTGATAAGCATGATGTGTTTTTACGTGAGACACGTTTCTACAAAAGACTAAATTTAAGTCTTTTCACTAAATTATATGTATATAAGAAAAACAAAGTAACAAAACATTTGCAAGAAGAAAAAAGAATGGAGAAATTTTGGATCAAAATGAACGTTCTTTTTTTTTTTTCCCTAACAGTTTTCCCATTTTTTTTTTAAAATATTATCTTTAATTTTTTAAAATCAACTTTTCAGACTTTTGTTTGCTGGTCTCTAAGAAGTAAGAAGTGAATAACTATTGCTCCATAGAGAGCCAACCACTATATAAATGTTGTCATGCCATCCAATCATGTGAACTTCAATCTCAAGCAACAGAGAAAAACTCCATCATAATTCTCTTTCGCTAAATTATTGCTCTGTTCTTAGTTAAGATTGTTTCTCACCAGCAAAACTATAATGAGTCGTTACTTGTTCACAATGTTTTATGCTGTGCTCATGCTCTTATTGCATTCCTCAGAGTTGGAAGAGGCAAAGTGCATAGAGAGGGAGAGACAAGCACTCCTAAACTTCAAACAAAGTCTCTTAGATGAGTATGGCATGTTGTCTACATGGAGTGACCATGACAATGATTGTTGCAAATGGAAAGGCATTTTCAGTGCAACAATGAAACTGGCCACATACAACTACTTCATCTTCATGGTGATCGGTATGCAAATGCACAATGTTTGAGAGGTCCATTCATCAATCTCACTTCATTGATTGACTTGCATAACATTCAACATCTGGATCTCAGCAATAATTATTTTCGGGGGAGTCACCTTCCAGAAGAACTCATGGGCTCCTTGGCCAACTTAACATATCTCAATCTCTCTTATTCTCTATTCAGTGGCATGATTCCATCTACACTTGGAAATCTTTCACAACTACAATATCTAGACCTCGGAGGGAATTATCTCGGTGGAGTAATTCCTTTTCAGATTGAGAATCTCAGACAGTTACAATATCTTGATCTCGGACACAATTATCTTTCGGGAGAAATCCCGTTTCAAATTGGGAATCTCAAACAGCTACAATTTCTTAATCTTGCAAGTAACACTCTTTCTGGAGCTATCCCTTTTCAGACTGGAAATCTTCCTCTCTTGCATACACTCCGGCTGGGTGGCAATTTTGATATAAAAGATAAGGATGCAGAGTGGTTCTCTAATCTCTCTTCCTTAACCACTCTTGAATTCACTTCATTACACAATCTTGTTGCCTCTCGTCACTTGCTACAGACTATAAGTAAGTTTATTCCAAACTTAAGAGAGATGAGGCTTGTTAATTGTTCTCTCTCAGATGCTGATATCAAATCCTTCTTTTATTCTTACTCCAACTTTTCCACTTCTCTTACCATCCTTGATTTTTCTTCTAATCTGCTAACGTCCTCAACGTTTCATTTGTTATCTTCTCTTTTTCCAAATTTTCCATCTCTTAAGATCCTTGGCCTCTCTTATAATAATCTTTCATCATCAATATTTCAAGGTAATTTTAATTTTGGATCAAAACTGAAAGAGCTTCATTTAGAAAACTGCAGTCTTACAGATAGAAGTTTTACTGTTTCATCTACTTCCACAATGAATTCCTCATCTTCTCTTCTCTACCTTGATCTCTCCAATAACTTGCTGAAATCATCCGATATATTTCATTGGATTTTTAACTTCACCACCGATCTTAATACTCTTTACCTTAATGGTAACTTGTTAGAAGGTCCGATTCCAGATGTATTTGGAAAAGCAATGAACTCTCTTGAAGTTATTCATCTCTCCTATAACAAACTACAGGGCAAGATTCCATCTTTCTTTGGGAACATGTGCAAATTGCAGAGATTATACCTCTCAAATAACAAGTTGAATGGGGAAATTTCTAGTTTCTTTCAAAATTCCTCATGGTGCAACAGACACGTATTTCAGACTTTGGATTTATATTATAACCAAATTACTGGCAAGATACCTAAAAGCATCACATTGTTATCTGAATTGGAGAAGTTATACTTGGATGGGAATTCTTTAGAGGGTGACGTCACTGAAATAAATGCGACTGAATGTGAAACCTCTAACTCAATGCATGAGCAGTGTGTAGTGACCAACCGGGTCGTTATAAATTTTGATTAGAAAATGCTTGGACCAACTAGTAGAACAATTATAAAAATTAATATTTAGAAATAAAATTAATAAATTCCACATATCGGAGAGTTAAAGGTCATTGTCATATCAAAGGCTCCTAACTTTAAGACTCTTACGTTGAATAAATTTTTAGGAGTCTTGAGTTTATGAAATCTATTTGAACATCAAGTTTATCACTTACAAGTTAATAATTTTGTTGCTCTAAGAATCGATAAAACTAATAAGAAGAGAGATAAAGACAAATTTTGAAAGTAAAGTCTAAGTACAACAACTCAAGAAAAAAAAATCAGAAGACTCAATGAATAATGAGATATCTATCATATCCAAAAAGTTTATGAAGATATAGAATGTGAATATCACTAGTGAAAAATTAGGATACTACGTCACGCATTTTACGTCGTACATAGAAACACTCGACGTAATAAAAACGCGGTGGCATGGTTCGTAATTTTAGTTAAATTATTTACGTCGGACCCCTTTAAGGACGACGTAAATAATACACACCCATTAATTAAAAGGAGGTTCACGCAGTGGAGATTTCAAATCTGGATAAGCTTCTCCCGCGCCTCCTCAAATCATGGTTGCTCCTGGATAAGCTTGGGATCCACCTGGAGCAAATCTGGAGCAAAATCATATTCGTACTAATTTTTGGAGCGATAGCGGTAGCGTCATAGCATATGCTTCTTTCTTGACTTGCACTCTGTTCTTGTTGCTTGTGATATTCTAGGGTTGTTGTTGGTGATGTTTGGTGGTTTTACTTCTTCTTGCATTTTGAACCTTGTAATTTTTTGGTGTAGTCGTGTTACGAAATAGGAAATGGAGTTATTGCCCTTAATTAAAAGGTTCTGTTTAAAATAGTTGTTCCTAGGTTCACTTACGGGTGTATTTGTGAAGTATTTTGGCAGATCTTTTAGCAATTCTAAGTTTTTATGCGTTGCATTCTAAGTTTTTGAAGCTGGAGAAGGAAGTGGCCAAGTCCAGGTTGCAGAACAGGTCGTTCTGCTTGGAGAACGAGCCGTTCTCCATTCAGAACGGGTCGTTCTCCATTTAGAACAGGCCGTTCTCCAAGCAAAATGGATCGTTCTGCTTGGAGAACGGGATGTTCTGCTTGGAGAACGGGATGTTCTGCTTGGAGAACGGGCCGTTCTCCAACCAGAACGTCCCGTTCTGATTGAAATCGTTTTTCTTCTTTTTTTTTTTAAATTTTTCACAACTTTTTACGTCAGACCTTGTAATGTCCGACGTAAATTTACGTCGGTTTTCGCACCCTGACGTAAATTTACGTCTCCCACTTCTACGTTGGAGCTTTTACTGACGTAAAATCCCTAAAATAACCGACGTAAAATGTGTATTCGTGTATTAATATTATTCATGCGATTCATGCAGCAAATTCAGTAGCCGATTGTATTACAGGTCTAGCCCACAATAAAGATATTAGTCCTACTATTTTTAATGATCCACTTCTAAAGTATAGGGATTTGGTTTGATAGGATTTTAGGGAGTTATTCTTAGTAGTGCATCTTTGTTGTGTAATTAACCTTTGACAAAAATAAAAGTTACCTAACATGAGTAGACTCTTGCAGTTGTAGAACACTTAAATTGTTTGCTTATTCTTTTGTAAGTCTGCTAATTTAGAGCCTTACAATTGACTAACTTAGATTAAATATGGGTCTCTTTACATGAATTTATCCAAAAATACTTCTAAGAAAAAAAAATATGATGAAAATAATTTTTTTTTTATAAGTTAAAATTGACCTGTGCGAAAACTAATTTATATAAGTTTTCTTCTGTTAATTTCTCCAAAAAAAAAATTAACTCGTGCATAAATTAGTTTTTTAACTTATAAAAAAATTTATTTTAATTTTCGGTTTTATTTTTTCTTTTAAATTCTTACGGAGAAACTTATCAAAAACTTGGAACTGTATGATGAAGATTATCATAACATTTAGTGTTCGATTCATGAAGCAATTCGTGTACACACTTATCAGAAATCGAATAGGGATTAGCCTTAAAGGAACTAATATGTTAAAACAAAAAGTAAGTCCAAATTGGATCAACTCATCAAAAACTGCAAATTTGGTATGATTGCTCGCTCACAATTGAATTATACAAATTATTTATAAAATTATGTAACAGAAACTCAGGAAAGTGACTCAGATTTCCACTCTACTCATGAGATTTATCGCACTAGCCCCTAATGTTAAAAAAAAAAAGAAAAATTATCGCTAAAAAATTAAATACCCAATTCATGTCATTGAATATACCATAAACATGTAACATACATATTGGTCTTCAGTTTAAAGTCTAAACTCTAGAAAATGGACACTCTTCAAACAGCTACATTTATCACCGTCACATTTGTCCAATTTTTGTGACTTTTGCAAGTGACAACAAAAAGAACGGAGAAAGTTGGGATCAAAATGAACTTCTTTTTCCTTATCATTGTCGGATTTACAAAAATGTTTTGAAATCATAGACATACCACGTGATAATTAAGCATGATGTGTTTTTATGTGTGACACGTTTGTACAAAAGACTAAATTTAAGTCTTTTCACTAAATTATATGTATATAAGAAAAACAAAGAAACAAAACATTTGCAAGAGGAAAAAAGAATGGAGAAATTTTGGATCAAAATGAACGTTTTTTTCTAACAAATTTCCCTTTTTTTTAAAATAAAATATTATTTTTACTTTTTTAAAACCAACTTTTCAGAACTTTGTTTGCTTGTCTCTAAGAAGTAAGAAGTGAATCAGCAGGGAGAGCCAACCACTATATAAATGTTGTCATGCCATCCAACCATGTTAACTTCAATCTCAAGCAATAGAGAAAGACTCCATCATAATTCTCTCTCGCTATATTATTGCTTTGTTCTTAGTTAAGATTCTTTCTCACCAACAAAACTATAATGAGTCATTGTTGGGATAAATTTCTTACGTTAAACAAAACTTTTCATCAATCAATATTAAGAACCATTGTTTTAAATTATAAAGTTAAGCATATTTGTATCCATTGATGTTGAACGAAGGTTGTAGTGGAATAGTCTTTTTATACAATGATCTTCCTATCACTGGATTCCTTAACGGGACTTGATGTTCCTCTTCTGATGGAAAGACAGAGAAACATGTATTTCTGATTTGGCATATTGGGAACCATGACCATCTTTATAATTTTAAACCTATTAGGGTTCTCATTAACCCCTAACGGGTCAAATTTGGTTTCCACTTATTTGAAACCATATTAGTTTTACTATTGGCAATCTAAAGGCTCACTAAAATTAGATCACTTTTATTGAGCCCAACTAAATGTAAATAACTAATATAAATACTATAAATAATATATGTAACCCACATTAATTATTAAAAATAAAATTTCTAACAATCTTTCGCTTGGGCTTCATATTCATTAAAACATTTATATCACAAAATTCTTTAGCCGGCGTGCAACCGTATACTATTCACTTTTAGACTCCCCTTAAATAATCTGGTTCATCTCGTACAACAACAAGGAACCATTGCACCTTTCATCATTACCCAATGTTACTAAACCACAATGATCACCACAATTATATGCACTCAATGACATAGATCAAATATGGATAAGTGGCATGGAAATTACAGGCACGGTGATCTCAACAAGGTCAATTTTCAACGGGTCCAACCTTTATTCTTTATAGAGATCAATTCAAAATACAACATATATATTGCACAAAAACAAGCTCATAATAGAATTATGAACATCAACTTTATTTTTGTAAAAAAATCCAAATAATACAAATATATGGAAAAATTAAAAAATAAAGAAGACATAAAACATAAATGAGACTCTCACTACTAAGGTACTATCAAGAATTGCATCCATATGAGTAGTGTGCTCATGAAAGACTTTAGGCACCAACCTTAGTAAGTGGATCAACTAGCATAAAATTAGACCATATATGTTCTATAGAAATTTGCTTATTCTGAATTCTTTTCTTAACAACCAGAAACTTTATATCAATGAATTTTGACTTGGTTGTACTCCTATTATTATTGGGATAAAGAAATGCATAGTTATTATTACAATAGATTTTCAACGACCTTTCGATGCCATTAACCACATGTAAATTAGTGATAAAATTCACAGCCATATCCCATGGTTGGACGCCTCAAAACAAGCAATAAACTCCACAACCATGGTTGAAGAAGCTATAATAGTTTGTTTAACAGACTTCCAAGAGCTAGCTCCTCTAGCCAACATAAAGATATATCCAGATATGGAGCGTTTGCTGTCTTGACATCCAGCAAAATCAAAGTCTAAGTACCCAATGATCTATAAACTGTTAGACTTATGATAAGTGAGCATATTTCCTTTTGTTCTCTTCAAATAGTGTTTTACATGCTTTACTGCCTTCCAATGTTGCATTCTAAGATTACTTAAATATCTGCCCAAAACTTTCACTGCAATCATATGAGGTAATAACTTGATGGAACTTGTGATACGATGAGAAACTTGTTTGAGATCATAGATGGATTTCTTTAGTTTGCATACCATAGACTTTGAGTCACTAGAGACAAAATTTTTTGGTTGCGTCATATAAATCATTTCTTCAATGTCACCATTTAGAAACGCGATTTTAATATCTATCTGATGGAGCTCTAAATCATAATAAGCTTAAGTAGTGTGAGAATGTGGATAGATTAGGATTAGAGCATTAGGATATCATCGATCAACTTACTTATATAAAAGTTAAGATACATTTTATTATGTTAAGATGACATTATAAAATTTTTATATGTTGTCATGTTCGCATATTTATTTGTAACAAATTCACTAAGTTTCTATCTACCATCATATTGTTCCTTTATCTTTTATAATACATATATCTCTCTATATTCCATTTAATATAACTCTCATTTCTCTAATTTTTATTCCATTACGATCATTATCTCAAAAAGGCATGTACTTCTTTTTTCCATCTTTTTTGTTTTCTTTTCTCTACCCTTTATA